AATAGGAAACAAAGCAACAAGTCTTAATATCTGCTTGATCGATCAAATACTTTTCCGACTTGTTCCTTTCGCTGTCTAAGCAGACTGCTTTCTTATCCACACCATTGGCATTTTCCGTGCTTCGGGGTGACTGCGAATTGCCGTCGATCGATCTCGATCGATCTAGGAGTATTTTGATTTGTCCTGATCTATTATACGCCTTAGCCGGAGTGTTTCTGTGCGCATTTTTCGCAATGGCAGGAAAATGAAATACACAAAACTCAAAAAACGCTTCTCAAAAACCGGCAGGAGTTTCTGATATAGGCAGTTCTGACTATCGCAACTGTTCTATTAATGAGCTTCTCAGTGCAATGCTCGAGATGAGTTCAGATCCAAGAATGCATGAAATGATTTTGGCATTACAAGAAAAACTAGTTCAAACGGTTTCCAGTACCCTAGAAGAAGATCGAAAGGTCGTAGTGTGGTTATAGCTGGGCTACCGGAAGGAACCTCGCGAACTACCAGCATCGCGACGACAAACAGAACTAGAGGATAAGATTGGAGGTATTTTAGACATTCTTGATATTGAGTGTCGTCCTGAATCAGTCTACAGGATGGGAGCATTTTCGGATTCGAAAACTAGGTTAGTTAAAGTTCTATTGCCGTCTAAGTTCCACTGGTCAAAGGTTCTTGCTAATGCACGTCTGCTGCGTCGATCCACAATGTCTGATGTGTTCATAAGGCGCAGTATGTCAACTGAAGAGCGGGCAATGGACTACAAACTTAGGCAGCAGGCTAAGGAGTTGAATAAAAGTGCAGGATTCAAGGAGTGGGTAGTTTATAAAAGTGAACTGAAGAAGACCAGCGAGCTGCCCTCGATTAGAGCGGGGAAACCGTCAGTGATGCGTGGGAACTGCACCCACTTGCGTTGTTTCTTGTTCAATTCGCGCAGTTTGGTTAACAAGCTGTCGCTTTTGCATGCGTTTGTTGCTATTAATGATCCTGATCTATTATTAGTCACAGAAACTTGGCTTGATGAGAGAACTAGTGATACAGAAGTATTGGGTGGCCTAAACTATAAGCTAATTCGAAGCGATCGGGGTTGCCAGAGAGGAGGGGGAGTATGTTGCCTGGTTCGGGATGATTTGCGATTGCAAGTCAGTCCGAATCGACATAAGCAATCTTCCTTCGACGTGCTCTGGTTCGATATCACTTCGGAGTTCTCTACTGAGCCTTTGCGGCTAGCTGTTGTTTATCGGCCACCACAGTCCACGGCTAATGATGATAATGAGTTAATTGATTCTCTATATGACATATGTTCCACAACAAACCCCACTGTTATAACTGGTGATTTCAACTTGAGCATTGACTGGGAGAATGACAAAGCAGTCAAAGGAGCCGATATGCGATTCAAAGAAGCCTTTGAGTGCTGCGAGCTCAAACAATGGGTTAAGTCCTTTACTCGCGGGGAATCCGTCTTGGACCTGATTTTATCTTCTGGAACTAAGACTGGAAATGTCCTCCTCTCGGGAACTCTGATCATAATATTGTAAAGTTTCGAAATTGACTATATCAAAGAAGAGAGTACTTTCCTACCTGAACCTGTGTTTAGCCGGGTTGATTATCGGAAGCTCAGTGACTGTCTTAACACAGTAGATTGGAATCTGATATTCAACAACTACACCTCAGTTACAGATCTTTACTACAAATTTTGTTTAGTTCTTATGACTTTTCCCTAGTTTTGTGCCTTTCCGCTCTACTAAGCTCCTATCAGTCGATCTGGACTACTCTGGGACCTACTTCTGTATTTCTGGGACTATGTTCTGCTCATTGTTAACACCGAAATTTTGCTAGTTAGGTAGTGAATTCTCCAGTTGGGAGGCAACGAAGTATTCTAATAGTTTCGCCCTGAGCTTATCACTTGAGGAGATAGTTCAATAATGGACCTAATAGATGGCGGGTCAGAGGCTGGATTGTTAGGGATAGGGAATACCTAACTTCCGAAAATCCAGTCTCTGATTCCATATTTTTTACCTTTTGCTCGTCCGAGAGTGGCGTTTCCCTAGCGCCATCCGCCTGTTGAAAAAATTTTTTCACATTACTCGTGTTGATTTCACGTATACACACTACAGCTCGAGGGGATGAGACGGGCGGCTTCTTCTTTTCTTTGTTTTCTACTACATACTCGACTAGACCATTCCTTACCTATGATGAGCTTTGTAGG